GAATTTTGCAACAGGCCACCGTAACATTCCGTATGTAAGCCATGAGTGCTGCTGTTGCTGCCGTTTGCTGCAGCAGGCTGATAGAAGGAACGGCGATATGTGCTGCTGCTATAGTGTGCAGCACCGTGAAGCTGTTGCTGATGCTCTTGCAGCTGGTAGTACCCAGGTTGTAGCTGTAGCTGCTGCTGCTGCTGCTGCAGCTGCTGCTGCAGCTGCTGCTGTTGCTGCTCGGGAGATAAGTGTTGAGGGGGCGTTACTTGCGTCTGTAGCAACAAGCGACTCTGTGCTGACCAGTCCTGCTGCTGCTGCAGCTGCTGCTGTTGCTGCTGCTGCTGCAGCGCCTGTAGCTGTTGCTGCTGCAGATGCTGCAGGTGTTGCTGCTGCAGTAGCTGCAACTGTTGCGGCTGCATCTGTTGCTGCTGCAGCTGCTGCTCAGGTACTGTAGACACAGCTGAAGGAGCTCTTGTCAGCTGAAGCAAAGACTGCTGCTGCTGTGGCTGCTGCAGGAGGTTGGGAACGACCTCACCCGCATGCGGGGCCGCCCCATGAGGAGCCGCAGCAGCAGCAGCAGCAGCAGCANGGCAGCAGGTGCAGCATCAGCAGCAGACACTACAGTTGTTTTTACTATTTTAGGGGGGTAAGGAAGCGCATCGAGACCGAAGAGAGGTTCAGGTGTATCTGCACCTCCGCCAAACAAACAAATCCTAAACAAACGAGAAGTCCCGCTGCGCGCAGTCACAAACCCTAAACCCTAAACCCTAAACCCTTGACTGTGAGCTCCAGAGCCGAAGACGGCTCAAACCCTGCAAGCCAAATCCCAGACGCTAAGCACAAACCCTTGATCCCCCAAACCCTAAACCCTAAACCCTTCTTACGCAATGATGTTTGCCTCAACAAGAGCGACAAACTGCGCCTCCAGCAGCATTGGGGTGTACGTACACCGCAGCAAGGTGAGACAGCCGGCGAGAGAAGTCGGCAGTGCCTGTGCTTTCGTCTCTGAGCCCCAAACCACAAACCCTAAACCCTAAACCCTAAACCCTAGACCCTGTGCAAAAACCACCTACTTAGGATTTAGGGTTTGAGGCTTGCGTGACGGTTTATTAACAGCAGCAGCAAAGGGTTTAGGGTTTGAACTTCAGGGGTAATGAGGGCCATTAGGGTTTAGGGTTTAGGGTTTAGGGTTTACGGTCTACGGCTTTTGAGTTGCACATGGCGGCCCTGAAGGCAGCGTAGCTGCTTTCCGTCCAGACAGGNCTGCTGCTGCTGCTGCTGCTGCTGTGTCTGCTGCTGATAGACTGAAAGGGAGTCATCGGCAAAGTAAGAAAAGATGAGGCGCAGACGCAGTGGTGCTGCTGCTGCTGCAGGGGTCTGACAGTCCAGCAGCGCGATGAGCCGCGTGAAGCAGAGCAAATCCACTCTGCTGCTGCACCCAGCAGCAACCCGGCCCAGCCTCTCAAGGCAGCACTTGTTGCTGCTGCTGCTGCTTATTATGGTAGGGGGGGTGTTGTTACTGCTGTTGCTGCTGCTGCTGCTGCTGCTGCTGCTGCTACAGGTGCTGCTGCTGCAGCAGTACGGCGCGTCCGCCATCGCCGCATATGCCCCCCAAAACATCCCCAGCTCGGCAGCGCTGATGGTAGCTGTTGCTGGTGGTGCAGCAGCAGCTGCTGCTGCAACTGCTGCTGCAGTGGGTGTTATTGATGCTGCTGCTGCTGCTGCAGGAGGCCGCAGCAACTGGTCAACTGCATGCAAACGCCAGAAGATAGCAGCAATGTAATCAAGCTGCTGCACAGAGTATGCTGCACCACTCCATAGCTGCTGCAGCAGCCGCTCTTCCCACGCCATGGGGCAAGGCTGTGCTGCTACTGCTGCTGTTGTTGTTGCTGCTGCTGCTGCTGCTGCTGGTGCAGCTGCTGGTGCCGGCACGGCGGCAGACACCGCAGCTGGTGCTGCTCCTGCTCGGACCTGCTGCCAGGGAAAGTGCAACAGCTGCTTCGGATGCAGAGTCGCCCCAGTGNTGCTGCTCCTGCTCGGACCTGCTGCCAGGGAAAGTGCAACAGCTGCTTCGGATGCAGAGTCGCCCCAGTGCTGCTGCTGTCGCCGCTGCTTACAACGTAAGGAACAGGAGCAGCAGCAGCAGCAGCAGCAGGGATCACTGTTGCTGCATCTCCTGCAGCAGGAAGTGGCTGTCGAGGCACGGGAAAACTGGGCTGCTGCTGCTGCTGCTGTTGCTGTTGCTGCTGCCACAACTGATGCTGCAGCTGCAACTGTTGCTGCTGCCATTCATACTGCAGCTGCTGCTGCTGCTGCTGCCAGTGGTACTGCTGTTGTTGCTGCGGCGGCTGCGGTGCTGGCGACCTAATGAGGGGAGCCTGCAAGCTGCTGCTGCGACGATGGTGTAGCATTTCCTGTTGCAGCTGCAGCTCTTCGTGCTGCTGGTGCTGCTCTGAAGAAGGCAGCAGCACCGCTGCGCTGCTGCGCCGCAGTGTCGCCCCACTTCTCATGGCTGCTACTGCTGCTGCTCCTGCTGCCGTTGCTGTTGCCGCTGCTGCCGCTGCGCAGGGATTATTATATGTCATGCTGCTGCCTCAAATATTGCTTCAGGTTGCTGCAGAGCTGCTGCTGCAGCGGTCTCCGATGTGACGGCGACTGAGGCCAGCTGCTGGTCTGGACAAGGCTACCAACAGGAGCTGTTGCCGCTGCTGCTGCTGCTGTTGCTGCTGCAGCAACACGTGCTGCTGCAGAGCTTCAACGGCTTATTTAAGGAGGAAACAAATTAATAGACTTGTCAAAATGTAAGTGCCGCTGCTACAGCATCTATGTTGCTGCAGTTGCTGCTGTTGTGCCTCTAGGGAACAGCAGCAGCGTGCGGATCTGCTGCTGCTGCTGCTGCTGCTGCTGCATCCAGTGCCTGCAGCAGCTGCAACGCGGCAAGAGAAACAAAAAGTCCATTCCATACAAAACAAAGCCAAGTGCGAAATGTGTCTAGGAAGAAGGAAGCAGAAGCGGCGGAGATGAGCAGCAGCAGCTACTGCTGCTGCTGCTGCTGCTGCGGGCTGCAGCAGGCGGCCGCCGCCCTGTCTGGAGAGGGTTCTTCCTGGGCGGTTTTGCCGCTTTCTTTTGATGAAATTTTCTGTATTTATAACAAAAATAATTATTTAATTTAATTTAAAATGAAAATAAATAATTGATTCAGCTAAAAATGAAATAAATTTGGGCATCAGT